CCACCCAAAAGTCCTTTTTGTGTCAATCACCTAAAATAATGATATTACCCAAAATGAGACAAAAGAGTACGTAGTATTTTGCCTAATATGACCTTCAATTGACAAAGTCGTACACCTATGGGTGTTAATCGGGTCGGGCGGACCCGTTTACAATCCGATTCAGCCCGAGTCAGCTCGGTATTATAGCGTGGAGGGCGGGCTGGGACGGGTTGAGCGGGGAGTGGGTTTCAAACGAACAGTTTTTTTATATCGGTACCGGACCCCGCTAATCCCGTTAACGGATTTTTAACAGGCTACAGTCCGGTTCAGCCCGATTTTTAACGGGCTACAGCCCGGTTTTTAACGGGGTTTTTTTATTTATTTATTTTTTATTTTTGGACCGTTGCCAACGGTCAAATTCAAATATGACCGTTGGCCTACAACCTTTTTTTTGCAGAAATGGCCATTTCAGCCTACCCCTTAAGAAAATAGCCCTCACACCCCTAATATTTAATAAATTATAATTTTAACCTTTTAAAAACTATAAAATAGCCCTCCTTCTTCTTCATTTTTTCCTCACAATTCACTCTCTTACTGCTCTAATTCTCTCTCAATTCTCTCTTGATATTATTGATTATTGTTCTTAAATTCTCAATTACTTATTATTTCAAGTTTCATCAAATATTTAGTTTAGCCATTACAAAATTATTATTATCAAATATCAAGTATTCAAGTGAAGTGTAGTATCAACTATCAAGTATCGATCTATCAATTGAAGTTTGATTTTTTATATCAAATTTAGTGCGATATTCGGAATCCCGATACACTCGTTCCATATCTTTCTCTTCTTTGGTGTACACTTATTTTATTATTTAGAATTATTAATTTAATTTACATAATGAATATATTTAGAGCAGCCAAAAAAGCGTGCACTAGTAGATGTGGTAGTAAGAAAACTTCCAAAAGATCAAGAGGTGATGCTTGTTCTTCTAATAGCTTTACACATATTTCTAAAAGTTCACCTGAAAATTTAAATATAGATCATGAGCGACTTCAAGAAAATTATGATATAGATGATGATTTAGATGATAATTTAGATGATATTCCATCACCTGATAATCTTGAAACACCACCAGCTACACCTGGTAATGCTAGTCAAACTCAAAATATTAGGAGTGGAAGTCGTGGTAATACAAGTAGGCCTCCCCTCCCTATTAAGAAGAATCAAAGATTAAGAAATAAGTGTTGGAATTTTTTTGACAGACTAGAAGAAGATAAAAATTATGTAAGATGTATAATTTGTAAGGATATTTATAAACATGAGACCGGTAAGGGAAGGGGAACGGGTAAACTTCGTAGGCACATGGTAGACAACCACCCTCTTGATTGGGGAGTAGATGAGGAAGATGGGCAACAAAAACTTAACCCGGGTATTGGAGGGTTAATGGGTAAATACGATATTAAGAAAGATCGGGAAAAATTAGCTAAAATGATTGTTTTAGGTTGTTTACCTTTTAGTTTTGCTGTTTCACCATAACTTATTACTTATATTCAAAGAATTTATAACCCTTTGTTTAAAGGTATTCCTAGAAGTACTTGTAGAGCTGATATCTTCAGGCTTTTTGGACAATATCAGACGTATATACGTTATTTGTTCGCCAGTCTTTCTTGTAGAATTTCTCTTACTTCTGATATTGGTCGTGCTGTAAATGGTAATGATTATTTGACTGTTACATGCCATTGGATAGATGATAATTTTTGTATGCAAAAACGTATTATTGCTTTTAAATATGATGAAGATCAAAGTCATACTGGTGCATTTATAAGTAATACTATCCATGAAGTTGCTATATTTTATAATCTTGCAGAAAAAGTTTTGTGTGTGTCATTTGATAATGCTTCTAACAACAATGCTGCTATTACAATATTAAAATTGCATCTACACCCACCACTTTCTGAAATATTTCATGTTAGATGTGCATGTCATATTTATAATTTGATTATGAATATTGGCCTTGAATTATTTAGAGATGATCTCACTTTAGTTAGAAGAGCTGTTGGTGTAATTCAAGAAAATAATAGAAGTGCTAGATTAAATGCATTTAAAGAAAAATATGTACACTATGGACTAAAACCAAGACTCATGCCTGAAGAAATAGTTACTAGGTGGAATTATACTTATTTATTTTTAAAATGTTATTATAAATATAGAATACCTATAACTGAAGTTGTTAATTCTCATTGTACCGATCCTAGCCGTTTGTTAACATCTAGAACTTGGGATGTCATTGAAGATGTAGTAAAGTTTTTACAAAACTTTTATGTGGCTACACTTGAGTTTTCTGGAGCTTATTATCCTACTATTGCAAATGGTTTAGTTCATATTGCTGAAATTTCTCTTTTACTACATAATTTGAAGAAGAAAGAAGGATATACTTATGTTGTTGAATCTATGCTAGATAAGTTTAAAAAATATTTCTACCCAATTTCTCCTATTTACCTAATTGATGCTATTTTAAACCCTTCTATCAAAATGACCACTTATCGCCAATTAATCACTGTTTTATATTCTTATATGGATATTGGACCAACTGAAACTCCTGATATTGACACTTGTATTTCTGATCTACACAAACATTTAGAAACATTATATAATTATTATGCTAACATTGTTGATGCTTCTTCTTCTGCTGTAGATGCAAATATTCCTTCAAGTTCAGTTTCAACATCTGGGATCAGTGCTTTGGATGATAATGATGGTGTTGAAGATTATTTGATTTGGTCTACACTAGGGGAACATCAACAAACTAGTAGCATGAATATTGATGAACTTCAATTTTACTCGCAAAAGTCAGCAGAGCCCCGCACAAAGGAATTTCTACCACTGGGTTGGTGGAGGAGCAACTCAAATCAATTTCCTGTTCTTTCGGCCATGGCTCGAGACGTGCTAAATGTGCCGATTTCAACAGTCGCATCAGAGAGCGCATTTAGCCAANNAAATTTTTTATAATTGTTGTAAACTTTTAATTTGCAAGTTCAAAAATAACAAAATCAAAAAAGAACTTGCAACTTAATTTGAAGTATTATATATTATTCAATAAAAATATCAAATGAAAGTCTTCGGAGCTTCATTCTTACATATTGCCTATTGGTCTTATTAAATAATTTTTTGTAGCCACTTACTTTCAAATTTCAATTTTAAAATTATAAAATTCAAATTTCAAATTTAAAAGTTTAAACTTCAACGTTTAATTCTAAGCTTTAAAAGTTTGCAAACACTTAAGTATCAATAATATTGAATAAGAAAAATAAAATTTACTTAAAAAAAAATAAAAATAAAATTGCATGGCCCAGTCCAGCCCGCTAAGCCCGAACCCGGACGGACAAAAAAAAACCCCGAAAAAGTACAGCCCGCTAACAGCCCAGAACGTTAAACGGACGGGTTATTTTTTTTGTGTCCAACCCGTCCCAGCCCGCCCGTTAAACACCCATAATTACACCAAAGGGTAAAAGTATATGAATCACCCTAAACTATGCTTCATTGAAAAGAAAAAACTCTGCCTTAAATGTTTATTTGTTGGATAAAACTTTGTAGAAGTTGAAGAAACATAGTATATATGTTGAATAATTTGAAGTTGAAAACAGATATTAAATTAGAAGTTTATGCTTCTTGTTTTTGCAGAAATATATCACCGCAAAACCTCCATTATCTTTCCCCCTTCCCTCCACACGCACATTCTTCTTCTTTTTCCAAATTCTGTAAGTAAAAGCAACTGATACTACGAGATGTGACACTATACCTGTTGATATATGAAAAGAAAAGATAATACTATACATTAAGGTGTATCTAAAACTTTTGCCATCATTAGTCAGATGCAAGACACTATGAATCTCAAAGTCAAGAAGTTCCAAATATGATGTTTTCGTCGATTAGATGATTCATTACATTAAGCTACCAAATAGAAAACAGTACACACATTTCGGATCCTATTTAGTAAGTGATTGCAACTTCCATAGCAGAGATAAAATCAAATAAATATACACGTGAACAAATGAGTGCTTCTCAAGTGATTTGCACTTCAAATAGAAGCAAGAAAGCTTTCTGAAGACAGCAACGGGAGCACAACCGCGTCATGTTTTTAGGAAGCATGCTTAAAAACTCAGGCACAAGTCCTCTTCTGGTGAACAGCTTCAACTTGACAATAGCTTCCTAATCTCCAGTTCCATCTTCCAGTAAGGAGTGTCTTTCAAGGATAGCAACAGTCTCTTCCTTGGCACTGTCATAAGATTATAGCTAATTCATCAAATTACGCACAACAGTCTTATGACTTTCTCGTCCCAATGGTTAAACACCAAGAAAAGTTTCGACAATACAGTCGTAGTTGTACACACAGAATATATACATGATCAAGTCATGCCGTCATGGACATTATTTAGAGCATTACCCCAGATAGAAATCTAGAAGGCAAAAAAAAAATCCAATAACTTATATTCCATGTGAAGACTCTGTGCTAAAAAAGGATAAAATATTATTGTCCCTCTAACAAGAAATGATTTGCAAATAGAATAAAAAAGGGACAAAGTCATGGCTACAATCAACAAAAGAAGAACTAGAACGCATTTAAAAAAGATGGAGGCATGAGAAATATTGTATTTCTTAATCTTATTGTATTTATTGGGGAAAGGGAATTGACTATGACAAATTTAGCAAACAATATGAAAATTATTATGCACCTTCTTACTCATTAAGTATTTTCTGGTAAATTTCATTAATTTAAAAGTCAAACTCCTTTGAAGCCTTCTCAGAAGGTTATGATCAGTTCAACTCGACAATAGTTCCCACCCTAGATATTGGAAGCTTACCTCCCAGGTCTTAGAATCTTGTACTTTCCCAACTTGGTAAGATCCACCACTGTTGATCCTGCTCGCCCAGCTGGAAGAACTCCGCCATCATAGACATATGCACAGTGCTCCCAAAGGTTCTCAAAATCTTTGATGTTTATGCTACTGGGTTGTCCACTGAGGTTTGCACTAGTAAGTGCAAGGGCACTTCTAGAACCACGGGCAATTGCCCTGATGAAGTTATAGTCAGGAACTCGAACCCCTATGCTTTCTAATCCAGGGTTTAATGACTTCTCAAGGATACTTGACTCACCTGCAAAATATCTGAATTCAGCCTCTAGTACAGAAGATTTATAAGAGAAAGATAAAAGCTTCCAAAACTACTGAATACGGGCCAGTATTTGCCTAGGCGAGTGACTCTTCTAGGTCCTTAACTCCTTACTCAAGTGTCTTACTTAAGAAGTTGAGATATTTAACCCTAAATTAGCTTGAATAAGAATATTTAACCATAAATTGGCTTGAATAAGAATACCCATGCTGCCACATTTTGGTGGACATAACATATAATAAGCTACTAACCTCGCCTTAAGACCACAGTCACAGGTCCAGGAAGCAGGCAGTCAAGCAAACCATGAGGCAGATGATCTGTCACAGCGTAACGTTGTATGTCATGAACATCGCCAACACAGATAGCCAGAGGACTTGTATGCTTACGTCCTTTGATCTCATAAATACGATTCACTGCCTCAGCAGAACTACAGCAATGCACCGTATAAAATTAAATAAGACCTTCTATAAAGATGACTTAGGTAAATATAACAAATGGATTTGACTCTTGATGAATTGCTAGGTAAATAAGTGAACAATGAAACAACATAATTTTTGAAAATTTCTGCTCAGTCAAGTTGTTAATGCAATACCTATAAAACATAGGGTTTAAAATTCAAATCCATTATTTCTTTCTTCCAGTTAAATTATATCATTTCATAGGAAAGGTGGGGAGGAAGGAGATATCGAATACCAAGAAAGTAGCTTAAGGGTATGCAATCCATCGGTAAATAATCATAAAAAGAGGGAACTGATTGTTGTAAGTTGGTATTGCAAATTCAAAGAATGCGGGGCATATGTAGATCATTAGTTCTAACAAGAATAGCTTCACAGTTTTGGCAGTGCATTTTTTTTATAGCACATGAATTGGGTACTCTCAAAGACAGTGTTAAGAGGCATTTGAAAGCTGGAGGGTAAGGAAGCCTCTAATCAGTTGAAAGCATCAGAAAGGGTGCTTGCTATGCCTTCTCTGGACAATTTGGAATCCAATTGACAAGAAGATGTTAAAATCAAGGCAATGAGATCTCAAAGGATAACGAGCTCTTCTATTTTTTTTTATACTTTTCATGAATGAAAGATAACCTGTTTGTATAGATAGTTGGGTAGGGTTGATACAAGATCAGCAATAGCCCACATTTTAATCTTTTTCTGATCAATAACTGCAGCCCACATACACACGTCGTCGATATATTTTAGCACCATATTGGTGAATGAAAGAAATGATGTTGACATATCAATAAAATATTTTATCAATTCCAGTGGAGCGATTAGTGATAAAGCATCAAAACAAGTGGCCACCGGGGCCTAAGAGTGATGGAAAATAATTGAAGCAGGAAACTTACTATTCCCTACTGCTTAATGCAAAATGTGCAACTCAAGAAATTAACAAAACAATGTCAAATAACCAGAGAGAATCTGATCATGAAATGTCTAACAATTTACCCACACACAGTAAGAGACAAACCCTTCAGAGCACAATAGTCATGCAGTAAGCACCTGCATCGTGAATACCAAACCAATGTCCCTAGAAGGGGAAGGGGAGGGGGGGGGGGGGGGTTCCCGTGTCCTTTCCCAGAAAATCTGCAGATCCACATACAGGACAATCTAGAAATCAAAAAAAAAATAAAAAAATCTAGAAATCGCAGTTTCTGGTGGTGGAGTGGAAACAAGCTCTATGTACTTATAAGCATCATAAAGACTTGGATGTATGAACTCTGCCATGCTACAATCAGTCACCATAAAGTTTTTGGTCCCATTGGTTTTAACTCTAGTAACTCTGTTAACCAAGTTGCATTTGTTTCAAATAGTGATCTTCTAGGTTCAATAACGAGTTTGCTATCCATATGATCTCTATGTGAACAAAGGAAAGCTCCAAATTGATAGTAATCAATCGCTAAACCACCTCCAATGCTCAGGTAACCATTTTTTTTAATAAGGTAATAATACTACAGGCAACTAATTTCAAATCCCTAGAATCGAATTTGGTCAATGTAGTTCACCATTACGACAGCTGCATCTTGAAAAATATCTACCTTGGTGATAGTTAAACAAATGTTCCAAGATCTTGAGATCATTGTTGGCCTTAACGGCATAAACAACAATTGAATTAAAACCTTCTAAAGCCGCCTTATAAGCCTCAACAGTCTAGTAATTTGGGGCTTATTATACAGATAAAAGGCATTCTTTCCATAGTTTCATGTCATCTTGAACCTTAACACCCTCACAGTACAAAATCCCATCTTCAGTTTTTTTTCAAAACAACGCTAGAACTTCTGAGTTTGTGGTTCAGAAGTTGATACAACTCCTCTTATGCTTAGATTTCTCGAAATGAGCTTCAATGAAAAATGTGTTTGAAAAAAGGAGAGTTTTACTGTTGGGTTAGAAGGGTATTGAATAACTTGGGAAGTGATAGAGAGTGCAAGACTAGGCGTATAGTCGCCAATGTTATCAAATAACCTTTCTATTTGCTCTACATTCTCCTTTCTCCTCCACTCTTTGGAGGGCCTCTGGAACCAAAAACCAGTCCTTTCAAGCTAAGGAAATAAAGATTATTCAGATGTCTAAGCATTAGCAAAGCTTAAAATTTGCTCCATTATATTGTTAGAATTTAAAATTACATTGAATCTAATGCAAAAATATAAACAAGATACTTTAGAATACTTTGCAACACAATTCAGGAGCTTACTGTCCAAGCCTAAATCTTTAATTCAAGTCTACCCTTTCCTCTCCAATACAAAATAAACCAAAACCCAAGAGCACTAACAGTTTATTTGTACAAAGCATGCTTAAAATAACATAACTACATAGTATCTGATATGAATTATTTTATTTTATTTTGAGTTCAACATGTCATCAAATGAAAAGAGCAAATTAGGGGCATACCAAGCATTACAAGCAAAACCATATAGTGTATCAGTGGGCACAGCTATTACTTTCCCAGCTTTGATAGATTCAATTGCCTCTTCAGCATAATCTTCTGTTGCAGGACTCACAGAAACTACCTTAGTCTCCACATTCCCTTCACCTTTCTCCAAACTCCAAGCCATTTTCTTCACACTTACTGCACTAAAACCCCTCCTCCTCCTTGCCCACAAGTTCAAAAATCCAATATTTTCCACCCCTGCCCAAAAAGGAACAAGAAACCAAAAAGTTTAATCTTTCTTATGTCTAAGAGAAAATGGAAACAGAACTTATAAGAAGAAAAGGAGAGAAGACTAACGATGAGTGTATATTAAAGAGCACCTCGAGAAGGATGAAAGAGAGAGTTGAAGAGAGGGAGAGTTTGGGCTATTTTTGTGGGTGTGGTGGCGTTCATCAGTCTTCTCTCCCCTGCAACTTTGCTCTGTTCGAATTCTGCTGCGTTTTATTTATCTCAAAGAAAATGCAGTATACATATGCCCTATTTGGTTGGACACCTAACAGCTTGTTTGTATGTTTGTTATCTTGTTAGTTAAATTTTATTATATGGTATTCGGTGGCCAATACATAATTTTCCGAGCTAAACAGTGTAATTTTCGACGAAGACCTTTTGGTTGCATGTGGCTCCGCACTGATCGTATCGTTAAATCCGTACTTACGTAACGACGAAAAGTGTACTTTATGACGACCGATTTGGTGCAATCGCACAATTTTCTTATTTTTTCTCTCATTTTGTCCTTCCTTATTATTAAATAATCCTATTTTATCTTTTACTCTACCTTTTTTATAAAATAATTCTACCGCGTACCTTACTTTTCTTTATAATATTACAAATTTATTCCTCATATTGTTGTTGCATGACATTATGAAACTACGACAAACAATACAATCTATCCAAACATTGTATATATCAAAACGATACGATACGATACAATACGATACATTATGAAACGATATATAACAATCATCCAAACTAGGACTGTGCATGGATCAGATCGGATTTAGCACATTTCAGATCGGATTTTCGGATTTCGGATTCTAGAAAATGCAATTCGAATCCGATCCGAAATTAATATCGGATCGGATTTTAAAGTTTGGATCGGATTGGATTTTCATATTTCGGATCGGATTATTATGCCTCAAAGTTGCAAACTCATATGTATATTTTCTTTGTAAAAGAGACAGTACAGTAAGAAAAATTTATGTTTATACAATTATGAGAGTACTATGGTGCCAATAGAGCTAAATCAATCAATTGTATAGGTAATAACTTGGACGAAAATGTAAAGGAAGTACTAATTATCCGAATTAAAGTTTAGAATTTATACATGCCCTAATAATTTCGGATTTCGGATCGGATCGGATCGGATCGTATTAAAATTATACCAATCTGAATCTGATCCGAAATCCGAAATTGAACGAATCGGTTCGGATTTTCGAATATCCGATCCAAAGAACAGCAGTAATCCAAACAAGCTATAAGTGTGATATTCAGCCGCCAGTTAACTTAAGGCCACCGGGTACTTTTTTTTTGTTTTTTGAGTACTCTATTTATTTCTTTTTTTTTTTCTTTCTTATTAATTAAGAATCAAATGGGAATTCGGGGTGTTTACAACTAGTAGCAAATTTTTGAAAAAAGAACCTAGAACTTGTGGAGCATATAATTTCAATGGAGAATTGATGCATTGGCATAGCTGAGTTATATTCAACAATGATAAAAGCATATCGCATCTAATCACAACGAGCTTTTGTAAATATTGACACTACTAATTAGTTTTTCATGTTTTATATATAAAAGTCCTTTTTTGTATTTTTTGCTGAAAAGAAGAACTTTTATTTAAGATAGAATTTAAAGAGAGTTATTATACAACAGGGAACTGATCTCATTGATCCAGTCCCTAAGAAGTCTTTGCGAAAATGTAATATAGCAAAAGAAAGTGGTGCATTCCAAAACTAAAGGTTGTCAAAATACAAGAAAATAAAAATAAGGGAAGTGCATAAATATGTGTAGTGAGTGAAGTAAGTAATTGTAGAAGAATCTTTTAGATGTTTGAATTAAATGCCAGAATATTATTTCACCGAGTAATTAGAAGTTTGAACTCAGAGAATAGCTTCTTTGCTTCTTCAAAAGAAAAGAAAATTCTTTCTGATTTCTACACTCTCTTCTGCTTATAAGCATTTCACTTTTTACAGTTCTTTCAGCAATACAACAACTACTATTTCTCTTTTTCCTGTAGAATTAAGTTTCTAAAATGTACAAAACATCAGTCTCACAACTGTGTATGGACAAACCTCACTCTCTCTATTGGCTTTATAGGCCACCAATTATGGTAACATAATAAAACACAATCTAAGTCCAACTAAATGTCTCGGGATTTTCAATATCGTGTTGATAATTTTGAGGACCTACACTAACACGAGATGATGTTGGAGGTTGATTCATCTGTGGCCATCCCCCTGGAGGCAAAATCATCTGTGAATTCTGTTGCTGCTCTAACAAGGCTTGTCGACGCCTTCTCCATCTAAAGAACTCGACAAGTAACGAACTTCCACTCATTGCAACTCCAAAACCAGCAAATGTAGACAGAAGAATCGAAAGAACTGCTTGCACTCGAACCTAAATATTATACAGATGGCAAATTTAAGCAGTTCAGTATATATAGTAAGCTCAGTATGACAACTTCCACCAACATAATTAGATATATCTTACCAAGGAGTAGAAGATATGTGCAAATAGTACTACTAGCGCAAACTGGACCGATGCATAAACCCAAACAAATCTTCGCTTCACTGCACAGAAGATAACAGCTATAGTTAAAATACAAAAAAGACACAATGCACATAAGATATTTGACAAGCATTTTCCGAGAAATAACACGTCAAGCTCATGCTTTTCTTCTTTTTAATCCATTCATATACCTCAGATATGTTTTCCAAACTCTTACTAAATGGCGATGTTCCTACGTTAATTGATTTCTCATTTAAGGGAAAAAGTATTGGGATGAAGTGATTAGGCAAGACATGGCGATGCTCCAGCTTACCGAGGACATGACCCTCGATAGGAAGGTGTGGAGGTCGAGAATCCGGGTAGAAGTTTAGGTGGCCGACTGTTTTCTGTTTTTCTTGTTCATACCAGTGGTATTAGTGTGCTACGTAGTGTTAGTCTTGTATTTTGTTATTCTTATATTTCTGTTATCATTTATTGTTTCGTTCACTTCGATTTTCTGATTGGCCTGTTGGTGTTACTACTTGTTGTTACTCGTTTCTTCTTATCTTTCCGGAGCCGAGGGTCTATCGGAAACAACCTCTCTATCTTTTCAAGGTAGGGGTAAGTTCTGAGTATACACTACCCTCCCCAGACCCCACATATGGGACTATGCTGAGTTTTTTGTTGTTGATTTTTCATTCAAGATAGTATAAATAACATCAAGTGCTGGTCAGCTGTTCCTTGCAATATCAATCAGATTTTCACTGAATTGGTGTGTGTATAAGCTTTTGTCACAACTAATGTTTTTGATAGATCAAAGCTTCTTAAATGTTACCGCTAGTGATAAATGACATACCCATGGTTGAAGATGTCATCGACGCTAGCAGGCCTAGCACACAAGAAAAGGGAAGTGAAATAGCAATTGCACCAGTTCCCATTTTCCCAACCTGCAGACCAGAAAAGTTTAATTTAATGCTAAAAGATAGATTAATTAGATGGCTGTTTCTACTTGAGATTATTGATTATGACCTACTAAACTTACCAGCAGCTGCTCAAGAAAACAAAAGTAGGCTAGCATGCTGACAATGACAAGAATTGGTACTTCCTGCCAAACCCTGTGCAGTATAGCAAAAGTCAGAAACCCGATTTAGTTGAGTTATCGCTAATATATAACACCCTAATCTGATCAATTTTAGTATTAATCAGTTCTATTCCAAAGAAAGGTGAGATAAGTAGAGAAATGAGGAAATAGAAGAAAGAGTAATTTTTTGTGGTCTAACTTTGCCTACTAAAAGAACATGACTTTCATTCAAATATATGTATGCAATTTCATGCTGCAAGTCATCAGTAGATTTAGTTTATAAATCTACATCAATTTCAGTATAATAAAGTGACACATCAAAGGTCGATTCTTTTTTCCAGCCAATTTGGTTGCTTAGCTGCTATTGTTTCCAGAAAAATATAAGGGTGCATATCACTACAAAGAGTTGAAATATCGTAGGAGGGAAAGCATATTATTGGGGTAAACCAGCACAAAGATAATACTCTTAACATGGAGACTTTCTGATATATGAACAACCCTGATTGTCAATGGTGAACCGGACAGGTAGTTGTTAAGCAGGCAATATGAGATACTTTAGTTTTCTTAGGCAATAAAATATTTACCTGTATCCATTTATTTCCAGATGCCGGAACCTATTGGATCCTGCAGCATTTCGAACACTTTGCATGCGCATAAGTGTGACGGGCAGATTCCGGACCTCTTGCTTGCACACTTCACATGTCTTGTTCCCTTTGATACTAAACCATTTTAAAGCACATTCTTGGTGAGCTAAAGCAAGTTCGCCTTTGCAGCTGCACTCCATCTTGAGTGTCTCTCCACCTTCACACAACTCAACCAGGCAAATTCGACAAACAGCCTCCTCTTCCGGTATATCTTCACCATCTGGCTCATTATCCTCTGAGAACAAAAATACAAATGTGAGATCGGGACAGTGGGCGTCTTTAGTAATATATATAATGCTCATATAAGCATAACATAATTTGCCAAAGGCTCCTTTTAAACAATAAGGACACCAGAAGCTTCATCCTCGCTTTTTATGTCTTTGGTGTTCGAAAGAAAAGTGTATATTCCAAAGCCTATGAATGCTTAAAATAACAAAATAAACAAAGACCACATTTTAGGCAATTGTTTACCAGATACTTTTGTTGGACTTGTAGCTGGAAGTGTGGAATCCACATCCTTCACTTGAGGTGTTGAAGGAATAACTCGAAAGAAAAATTCTACTCTCCTATCGCTTCTGTCCTTTTCTTTGTTAATGACTGGTAGAGACATTGATCGTGAAATGCATACATGTGTTTCCTTTGTCTGCAATTACAACATATCCTATTTCAAATGAATGCACCAAAAAATAAGCGCATATATAAATTACTTCACTGCTTTTGCATTTAAGAGTTCCTTTCTAGTGACCAAGTATGGTGCTCATTTAGAATGTTAAGAAGGATACGATATGTTGATTGATGCCTCTCCTTTTCTTCAAATTGAGTCAAGGAAGGGACATCTCAGTCTCCGAAAAAAGCAACCAGTCACAAGGTCAGTATTGTTATAAACATTTTGCAGATTACCTTCAGTAGTCTTAGGTGGTATAAATTAAGTGTTATTTTTCCATCAATTAGGATAACCGAACCTAAAAATACCAAGAATTCAACTATTATGAAATCAATCAAGCCAATGTCTAGAGAACTTACACCAAGTGTTAGAGAGCCGCTGATGCTCCCACTA